GCTTATGAACTGGAGCAGATTATACAATTTGAGTTGGAAGGCTTTCTTAGTTCACTGCTGCCACGTGTTTTCTATAGTACTTCTGTACTTTATATTGAATTTTAATTTGGGGGTGGTTACTAGCTTGCTCTTTAAATAGCAGGCAATGTGGTTAGTCTCCCTTTTGCTATCTGCTATGGTTTAATGAGCGGCTCATCTTTGTTATTTAATTGCATTTATTAGCCTGAAAATGAGCAGGTGATTTTTCTGCCTTTGAGGTTCTTGGCTTTATAGATATTTTATCCTGTACTTCCATACTGTTGTGAAAAGTATGCAGAAATACTCTTGAATCAATATTTTGTATTGTGGCTTGAGTTTAGTAGGCTCTTTAATACCTCTACTCTTTTGTAGTACATGGGTTGATATGGAGCAACAAAGAAATGATTCCTTTTAAAAACGTGGTGCTTTTAAAAACATGTGCAGTTACAGTTCTTAGACTTTCAAATATAAGGAGGGAGGTTCCAGAAATGTTTGGAAATTGAAATTGTATCCTAAGCTAGAGCTTGTGTAAATCAAAAGTGTGGTTTTTTCATACTACTTTCAACAGGTGAGGCTATTATAACTGAAATAGGAAAGTTTTTCTTACGACCTTTGCCTTAATGATTTTGATAACATTTTGTGGCTAAGCCTTTCTACTAATTTTTCTACATCAGTTTTTCCTTGTGTATGAAAGAATCTACGCAGACAGCAGGAGGTAATTCTTCTTAAACTATTGAAATTATCAAAACTGAATAAAGATACAAGTCTTAAATAGTCTTTATTAGTCGTTACGTAAAAACAAAGTTTCACTTCATTTTTTTTCCTCTGCTGTCTCTCGCCCTATGGTACCTCCCTATCCTAGTGAACGGGATACCCCATTTGGTTTTCATTGCCAAATTAATGGATTGGGGGAAGTGGGCAGTAGAAACAGAGGCCGAGCTAAACTCCAGCTTTTTTCTTTAGCCAGTGGTGTCACTATGTGGGGAAGGAAGGTAGGGAACAACTAGGAGCTGGTTTTTTTCCTCCAAACATCCAGTTGTGTCGGTAAAAGCAGCAAGTCATTTCTAACAGGTCAAGCTTTACAGGGCAGAGCATTCCAGGGACAGGCTCCTGTTGTGAGACAGTACATTGGAAACACTCTCAAGCTACAGATTATCATTGCCTTTGTAACATCCATCACATTTCTTCTTTTTTTTTTTAAATAAAGTGTAAGTTTTTGTGTCTAGATTGTTTCTTGAGCTGAACATGGTGCCCTTTGAGGAATTAGATGTATTATTGGAAGGATGGTCCTCTGAAAATAGGGGCGGGGGGTTCATATATTGGTTTGGGAAATGTGTATGAAAGATCCATGTCTAATTGAACATATGCAAGTGTACCTGGGCATCTTACTGAACAGTTTCCCCTTCTAACAGTGAAAATCCATGAGGAACTAGTACGGTTGTTAGATTTTACCCGTCTTTAAAACATGGTTTTGACACATGTAACTATGACACTGAAAATTAAATAAGAATCAGCTTTAAAATAGTCATTTGGTATTCTAAAATCTTACGAAAAATCTTAAGAAAATTTAAAAAGGCAACAAAGTTTTGTTGCGCTATTCCAGGAGATAGTGATGGGGGTGTGTGTGAAGAGAGAGCAGAATACGTATATATATATATACACGCACACACATATATATGCGCATATATGTGTATGTGTATATATATGTATGTGTCCATATATATTTATATATAAAAATATTTGCATCTCAATTTGATGCATGTTGCAGCTGCAGTTCATCCTGAGCGGGAAATATCTGTGTGTACTGACCTCATTGCTTTTATTATGTTTTTGTTGCTGTAGCCCAGCTGTAACAGCAAAGGAACAATTCACAGTGATCTGCTCAATCCTGTTCTTCCACAGCTCTTGTTTATTCCTGCCTTATTAGCCTAAGTTTCATCCTCTCATGTTCTTTAATTAATGACTTCTCCAAGCTACCATATTCTTTATTGTATCCTTCCTGGCTACTTCAGTGCATCTAGCTGATTTCCCTTTTCCTGCCCTCCGGCAGTTTCTTTCTCCTTGGATTTTTTTTTTCTTTTTCTCCCGGTTGCAATGCCATTCTTGGGATACCTTTTAAGACACTTCTTTTTTTGCTGCCACTTGTTTATTATCATCTTCTGTCCTGCTATGATCTCTCCCAGTTTCCTGGTTCTGTCTTTCATTACCTCTTAAAACAGATTTTCCTGAGTTTTAATAATAGCAGTGACTTTGTTCATCAAGAGTCTTTGCTCTTATTCTGAAGAAATATAATTCGAAATTGAAATTAAGCTTTTTTTAAAAAACAAGCCAACTCACAGACATCTCTCTCCTTCTGTCTTTTATCCGACAGTTTTTATTTGTCCATACTGTGATTTCTCAGCAAGGAGGGATGTTAGCAGAAGTGTGTCTTACAGCTTGAACAGCTTTAAAATTCAAACATTCTGGCATTAGAAGTTGCCTTTTATGGAGATCAGTAGTGAAAAGTCATGGTCTTCACTTGATGTTGGTGTTGGAAAAGGTATCTGGCTACCACTATTTTGAAGGACAATTTTTCTTCTTTCCTATCTCCTGGAATAGGAATCAAATTAAGAAAGTAAATGCCTTCTTGCTTACTCTTTGTATTTTATTGGTGTAAGGCTTTCATTTTGTATTGTGAAAGTCTTGTTATCGCTTTACTTGCCTTTAAATATTTGGCCAAATTTTTTTATCTTCTGCATTGGTTTTTTCCTTAACTGAGACAGTGGATAAATCTATGTAAGTTGGTCACCTCACAAGTGTCTTGGAACTTTAAATTAATAGGAAAATAAGAGATAATTTTTTAAATGACATCTTTCCATTACGCTGTCAAATGAAGATACTTTTATTCTCTTATTTTGCTTTGTGGCAGATAATTGACTATATTTTATAGTATTCAAGGGCTTTATTTTTTCTTTATTGTGAAGAGCAAAATCAAATTATGTAATGCAAAACCATTTTTTCTATGATTTGTGGGGAATATTTCAAGGTAAAAATGATTGTGTGTGTGTAGGAAGTGTTGAAGATCTCCATGTTTTTTTGCACTGTACAAATCATGACAATAGAATGATTCTACCTTTAGTAAGCCACAGCTTAGATAGGAAGGTAAGTTTATGGGAAGAATAGAAAATAATATTTAATGAAGCAGAGCACCTAACCATGAGCTGTGATATAGAAGGAGGAATTAAAAAGTAGTACTGGGATGTCCTGGCTTCTCCTTCTGCTTGGAAGATGGGAAGGAAGATTGGAGAAGAGAGGATGGTCCTGACAAGCCAATGTGGATTATGCTTCCATGTCTAATGGCTAGTAGAACAGAAGTATGCACAGTACGCCATAAAAACATAGTGTAGCATAGGGTGTAGTTTTTGCAACTTGTTATTTTACAATGTGGAATTACAACAGCAGCTTATGGACTGTATAGAATTCACTGTAGATCCAGAGTAGGCAGAGTGGTCTGGAAAGTGATGAAATGTGCACTGGATTTTGGTGTTTTCTGGTGCTTGTGCATGCATGCTTATGAGTGCCAGACTGTAAGACTGTTGGACTGTAGGACAAACCTCCCCAAATCCCTTATTTACCTGTTCTCTTAAAATGCTCTACAGGAAGCAAAGTACAATAAGAATGTCATGCTGTTCAGGTGGTGCTGGGGTCCTGCGGAAAACATCCCTCTTCCCTCAGCTTTCTGTGTTCAGTCCTTCACGGATGTTTCATCAGCTCTGATGGTTCTGTGTGCAAGTTTTAGTTTCTCTCAGTTTCTGAAATGTGAAGCTAATACTTGTTTTCAGACTTACGGTCAATACTGGAAGACAGAGCGGTGTCTTTTCTGAATGCCTAGGTTCAAGACTTTGAAAGTGTTTTGGAATAAATTTCCTCACACATGAGATATAAGTCATGGTGATGCTATTTGTGAAAATGAAGTTTGGGGGTTTTTTGCTTAGAGTCACACTTCAGATTTGTAGAGCTGAACATCCTACCTGTATCCTACATGTCTTGAATATAGAATATGCTTTCTGTGAATTCAGACTTAAAAAAAAAAAAAAAAAAAAAAGAGTATTTAAATCTAGCACTGCAGAATCCCTTTTTGTGCTTAATGGTCTTAACAGAATAGCTCTCTTCTTAACTTCTGATATGATTAAAACTCTTTGAAATAGTGTGCCTGGTCTATGTTTATAGAAACGAGATCATAATTATTCTGTAAGTTGGGTTCACAGAATGCCTCAAACTGTCATCTATAAAGACTAGTAACTTATGAAAACTTTGTCCTTGAGAAATTAACTTTTCCACTGGGTGACGTTAGTATGGAGAATAGTGCAAACGATTCTCCAAAACAGTTGGTGCAGTTAATTTTAATAGTAATATGGTCATAGCAAATGAAATGGTAAACATCTCCATTAAAGACATTTGCAATGCCTGTATATAGCAGGATAATTTGAAAACTTAGTATTGATTTGATCGCCTTGATGGATGAAAGCTGTCATACTTTTACGCACATTATTTTAAGGTTATAGGATTATGTCAGTCTGACTATCTGTAAGGCCATCCTAATATTTCTATTTGGTAAGCAGATACTCATGCTAATTTAAATCAAGCTGCAGTTACTTCTGTTTTATATTGTTTTTGTAAAATAGCAAGTTCCCATACCGTAAGTTAGCAGTGCCTGTACTGTAAGTTAGCAGATGCTGATTTTTAGACACAAATGGAATTTTGACAGCAGCCTTATCAAAATCTGGTAAATCAGTGAATATGGGTTAGTTCACAGGGAAGGTAGCTTTGAACATTGCCTAGAAAGATCTGCATGTTAGTCTAGTTTTGAGGGCCAGCCAGCATTGTGGCAGTCCATAGTGTGGAATGTCAGTAATCAATCAGTTGTCTGAAATGTTGTCTTTTTGGTTAACTGCTTTAACTTCAGAATACATTTCTATTATTTGTTTTCTCTGTTTAGCTTTTTTCACTGATGGAGATGAAACCTCCTATTTCCCGAGCAAAAATGATTCTCATCACAAAAGCTGCCATTAAAGCTATTAAGGTAAAGTACAATAGAACAAACATGAAACCGTAACAGTAGCAATGTTTCATTATTTTACTTCTAAGAAAACGCATCTCTGGATTTCCCAGTCTGAGCTTCATGGATGCTTTATTCTAGTTGGCATTAAGAATGTTATCTAGAAACAAGTGGGTGGTGAATATCATCTCTTTGTTTTAGACTAGTGGCATAATGCCAACTTGATTTTTTTGAATCATTGTTTTTTAATGCTACACCCACTAGGGTGTTGTGATTTCTATGTAATAAAATTTTGCATGTTGCAGGATGCAACTGCACCTTCGCATATTAAAGCATAGCTGACTTGCTTAGAAAGTAAATCAAGAAAGCACTCACTAATACTCTAGAAGCAGTATGTCTTTTGTGTACACACTGACACGCTTCTGACAGAAAGGATGGCTTGTTTCTGCCTGTTCCCCCCCTGAAATCTTTTTCTCTGTGCTTGATTAACTTAGCTTGATAACATACTTCTTTTTAGAAGGTGACTACAGTATTTTGTAGTCTTCTCTAAATGGTAGTAAGCACAAAGAGTTGAAATACTTCTAAAATTATGCGCCACCGTTGAGTAGATGATAAATTAATTTATGTATTTATTTTCCAGCTCTACAAGCATGTTGTCCAGATTGTAGAGAAGTTTATCAAAAAGGTAAAAAATAAAAAATAATCTACTGTTAAAGATATTGTCTGCATCCGTTACTAGATATTATTAGTAATGCTAATAAATAACCAAAAAGGCTTTTGTTATTCAAGGATTGAGGGAGGAAATTCTGTTTTGTTAGGATTTTATACATTTTGGTATCTCTTTGCCTATATAATAATCTCCTCACTTTAGTTTTCCATAGTACATTAAGATGGAGGGGGGGAAATTGTGAAATCCGTTCCTCCTCTACCCAGCAACTGGGCAGGAAACTGGAGGTGCTGAACTTCAAATTAATTTTCACTGGCTAAGATAATACATGTTTTCGGAAAAATACAGTTTTCATGCTTGCCTAGGCATGTAGAACAACAGGCTAGAATGTAATACTCACTAAACCCAAACTATAATGCTGCCTAAAGTAAGTTCCTCTGAGTGGACAGGAAAATACTCTTTTTTCATTCAAAGTCCTTCAGAGACCTCCAAAGAGAAGTACTTTGCATTAAATTCTGGAGAACAGAGTTGGTGGAAGTAGTTCAGTGCATTGAGTGTGAGATAGCTTGATAGCAGAATTGTGACAGTCTGTGCTGTAACGTAGTAGACCTGTTGTTGCGGTCACTTGTTGTCAAGCTAAAGGTACTTTAAAAGCAGTGATTGAGAAGATAAGGGCTGCTTCAAGCTATCCAGGTATATTTACTCTGACCCAAATGTTAAAGCATGTTTTTCTCCTTTCTTTTCCATTTCTAGAAACAAAAGTAAAGCACTGAGAGAATTCTACATAAAACACGTTAACATTATTTTTTTTCCTGTCCAGGAATACTAAGTATAGATTTCCTGTAGGGATCTAAGGTGAATGTGTGTTACCTTGTTAGTATCACTGCATAATGGAAAATATTTTTATGCTTTCAGTGCAAACCAGAATATAAAGTCCCTGGATTGTACGTTATTGACTCTATTGTTCGTCAGTCTCGTCACCAGTTTGGAACGGACAAAGATGTTTTTGGGCCAAGATTCTCTAAAAATATTACTGCCACATTCCAGTATTTGTATCTCTGTCCATCTGAAGACAAGGTATGACTATAATTTCTCAAGTGTTATTGTGAATTGGTAACAGTGCTACTTCGGTGTCTCTACTTACGTGAAAGCTAGTTTGGTGATTCTCTATTTCCATGGTAGTGAATGTTATTACATGAAATGGTAAAACATGCTGAGAAAGATTACCAAAGGCAATAGTTAAATAAAAGTTCTAGTTAAAATATTTATTTTGCCTAACTTAAATGGTTTTGTTTTGCGTATGCAGACATCTCAGCAGTGTGTGTGATTATGCCAAAACTTCTCTTCTTGAGGCTCCTTCAGGAAACCTTACTATGGAAGGTGGTGCCTCCCACAAAAAAGAAGTGTTATAGGAGAAGCTCTGGTGTTATAGGCAGTGAAGGTTCTGCTCCCAAATACTTTCTAAGAAAATCATCATGTTTATTTCTTCAGTCTTTACAAATCCCATACTTCAGAATTTCATTGCTGCTCTCTTGTAAAGACAGGTTTAACACCTCAGTTTTCTTAGTTTTGCTGTACTTGCTGGTAGAACAGAGGCTCAGAAAGTATCCTGAATTCATGATGGTCCAGGTTGCTACCAACAGAAGATGGCTGTTGTGCCCTCTGTCAGAACAATTTCAAAAGACTCCCAAGATAAGTGTGTTTTAGAAGTCACCAGCTGGTGTCCAGAAAATCACCTACTCGCTCTTTTTCTTAATTGTAGTACTGTAAGAGCAAAATACTCTTTTTCTAACTGACTTTTCCCCCAACTTTCTAATTAAGCTTTTCAAAAGCTTTGATGCTCTGTAGTTTTCTAATACGGAATGTTTAGACCTTTAGGCCTTGAATCTGATATTCTGGAGCTTCTGGGTTAATACCCTGGTGAAATAGAGCAGTCCCCTCTTCTTTCTGTCTTTGTGGTTACCATTTTGTTCATCTAAATGAATTAGACTATCCATCTCCTTTATGGAACTACCTGATATCTCACTGCTAAAATAATTAAGATGCTTTACACTAGGGGAATAATACTATTTATAACATGCTTGCTTTAATGAATTTCCAGTACCTAAACAAAAAAAGTGATCTGCAGATACATACACAACAACTATGGTTGATACCCAGAGAGAATGATACTACCTTTTTTTTTTTTTAACAGCCTTTCTGTAAGATTAATATGTGACTGAAAACAAGAGTATTAAGTTTATTCATTTTTTGGCCTTCATATTATTTTCAAGTCTGCTGGAGAGATAGAATACCCAAAGTCAAAAAATGCTGCTGTTTTGAAGTTAACTGTTTTTCAGACCGAAGTCTTATTTAAAAATAGCCATTTCAGGTTTCTCTCTAATTGATCTTATTGTAGAAAACATTTTGTGAAATTCTTTATAATCGCTTAGCTTATGAAAGTATAGGTGGATTTGCATGGGTGTGTATAACTGAGTCACAGTAAGGCATTTTATTGTTGAAACAAGAAGGAGCAGAATCGATTCATTCTTAGCAGCTACAGTAGAAGTAAAAAATATTTAAAACCTGTATGTGTGGAAGTCAGATGACTAAGTATACAAAAAGGACAGGTATGTCAATATAACATGTATTGTGACTTTTACCTGCTTGCATGTTCCAACTGAAGCAGCACAGCTAGTTAGATATTATTGTTTAATGCTGGGCTAAAGAGGGAAAGACTTCCAGCTTGTTCCTGAAAGCTTCATTGTTCTTAATGTTAAAAAAAGAAATGAGCTTAAAATAACAGTTGACAATCAGAGGTTCTAATTTAATCTTCCTGCAGTGATCAGTTAGAATGTTTTCCACTTGCTTTCCTGATCTTTTGAATAATGATGGAGATGGGTTTTCTGGTGTCAACATAGAAATGGTTGGGTTAGTAGAAAAAAATTCAAGCAAACAATCTTCTATCTAACTTTAAAGCTTTGTTCTAGTGTTTTATGGTCTAATTGCCCCTCTCTTCATTCGGGTTTTCCAGCTCATCTTCATTTTCTCTTTCTTTCTTGCCACACTTGTTGTTTGTTTCACCCCTTTATGACCATCTGTGAAGAACTGGTGGGGCCGATGTGACCTCCTCTATTGTATATCAAACCTGGATTTTCTGACTGGCCAGAACAGTTTTAGAAAAATGGCAGAAGTTGCTTTTTATTAGAGCGGATAGAAAAATAAGTTGGCAGTTTTTATCTTTGCCATGTAAAAGGTCTTGCTGACCTATGTGACAACATAGGAGTTGTTAAAGAGGTATGCCTCATTATGTTAAACTCCTATACTGTCAAACCTTTCGTCTCAACATATGGAAGATAAATTTGGAATTTATGAATTAGGAAAGTTGTATTTAGCATTGATGCTTGCTTTTGTTTCAACAGAGTAAAATAGTCCGTGTCCTGAACCTTTGGCAGAAAAATGGAGTGTTTAAAATTGAAATAATTCAACCTCTTCTGGATATGGCAGCAGGAACTACTGCCACTGCACCAATGACAGAAAATGCTACTAACAATGAAGGTATGAATGACATTATAACTTCTTCTTTTAAAAGAGAGACTGATAATACCTTTTTTGCTTTCACATTAAAGCGCCTACTATTAGTTTCAACAGCAGCATATTAATAAACTCAACTTTGTTGTCACAATTATGTGGAGCAGCTGAACTCATTCTAAATAAATGCTGCTACTGTACTTCAGAAATTATCAGAATGTGAACACTTATTTGGAAAATATCTGAAATTTATATCGTGTATGCACATGTACATACATATGTGCACACTTTACTTACAGATGACTTCAATGTTCCCTCTTAAAAAAAAACTTTAATTTTTTTCTTTCAGTCTGAAATATTTTTCTGTTGTTTCTCAATTTTATAATTCTGATGTCATTTTTTTTTAATGTTAGCATCTGGATAAGTAAAGCGTGATCTTACATGTTAAGAGTTTCATCTTTCTTTGAATCAACTTAGTATCTGAAAGCAACAGCTATCAGTCTCTTTCAATATGCAGCCCCATATTTTAACTGGTGTTTCAAATCCAAATTCTTGAACAGTAAATTTATGCCTGGCAGTAGGCTTTTACACGGGCTACTGGTTGAAAACCACTGACCTAAAGAGTAAAGGAATGACGGCCTGCCCACAGTGTTTTCACTGACCTATTTTACGCCACATAAAAATTTGGTAGTGAGGTTACCGAATTGTGGATGAGAATAGGCATACCACAATTCTCTCTTTCTCTGGAGGGACTTCTTTTTGAGTTTGCACTCTATATTTCAGACTTAGCTTTGGTAACCTCCTTATTTATTGCAGTCATGTATGTTGGAGTAGAACTGGCAAAAAATGTAATGGGGTGAGTGAGGTGTGGTGACAGACAACAAAATAAAGATGCACAATAGCATAAGTGAAATCGCCTCCAGCTGTGTTTAGGAAAGCGTATCCTATTGACATGTTTTATAAACATGGCAGGGCAGGGGAAGGGAAGGGAATGTCTTAGCATCTGAGCTTGGGTGCAGACTGGTGGCTATACAATTTTGTTCTGATATGGCAGGTGAGTGGCACTATTTTTCCATCTTTGTCTCATCACTAGTAGCTGACAGGTTGGGTGCTTTCTGCATAGATTTTCGTGTACAGAATTACTGATTTCAGAGAGATTATTCAGATGCTCAGAGGGGATAATTTGGCCCTGAAATAAATATGCTAATGAATAGTAAATAATATATTAATGCGTTATGTGAAACAGAATCTGTTTAGCCAAAAAAAGAGAGAGAGAGAAATGCAAATTTTTGCCCTTGAGCAGGCAAATATCCTTCTGAATATATACAGGAAATAATTTGGGAGTTAATTTATATTTAAAAACAATCACATATCTTTTTGCAGTATTTTTATGTAGCATCTGACTTCTGGGAAAATATTCAACATGTTTATCTCTGCTTGCTGCATGTCAACACGGCAGTTATTTAAACTGCAAACAGATGAATGGCTTTAAAGAAGTTGGTATTGTGAGGCAAACATACTTGCTTAGTGTCTCAAACTAAAAAATATTTCTATCTGTGGGTTTTTTTTAACTGTCTCTCATACAGTTTTATAGTAGTCCATTAAAATATATTTGCTAAAGAATAGTTACTTGCTCACAGCATGTAGGAATTGATGGTATTACTGCTAATTTAATTTGTACTGGCAAAATGTTTATTAAAAAAAAGCATTGTAATCTAAAGCAAAGAGAATGGGAAAGCTGCATGTGTAAACAAAGCTAATAGCATGTCTTAAAATGTGATCTCAGTTTTAGTAAAGCTCAGTGGAAATGGGAGTCTTTTCCTGGAAGAATTAGTAAAAATTATTTTTATGGTAGGAGGATTTATCTATCAGACGCAGGTTTGGCTTGTGCCTATGCAAAAGTGACATGTGAACAAACCTTATCAAAGAAAAAGTGTTGCTTGAGAAATATTTTTTAAAAACCTTTAATTATTATCAGACATTTCAGCAAAAGTTAAGTTACTGCTAGAAAATAGAAAATATTAAGAGAAACTCAGTTGCTCTTAAAATGAACCATTAGATGATTGATTTGAAATATTCATCCAAAAGAATGAGTCCAGAACTTTGTAACCAGAATTAACATTTTAAGTGTATTGATACGCATTGCTTAACACTGTTTGAGTAATAGTTTTTTCTCCTAACTTTTCTAAAATTGTACAATTATAAACATTGAGTTGTGATCTAAAATACCATGCTGGACTAGCTTTCAGATAGGCCATTTTTCTTTGTTTTCTTTCTTAGTGTATATAATGCACAGGTGTGAACAGTGAATAGAGCAGTTAAAGGCAAAATGAATGGAATATGCAATTGGGGTAGTTTAGATAGAATTTTTGGGGTTAAACAGAGTATTGCAGATAGATACTTGAGGAGGCAGATGTATGCACTGAAGAGTGAGGTGAATGTTTTGGAGTAACATAGCGCTTTCTCAATTCCTGTGAAACCCTCAGGTTCGCCGCCCCCTCCAGCAAAGGTTCCTTCGGAGCCCCCTCAAGTTACTGCTAACTCAGTACCTAGTGTGCCACAGTTGCCCAGTTCTGATGCCTTTGCAGCTGTAGCTCAATTGTTTCAAACAACACAAGGACAACAGGTAAACCTGTTTATATTTGGTTCCCTTCTAATGTCATTTTTTATGTTAAATGAGGGGGAAAAATGATGGAAGTAATATCCTTGATTTGAAGGAAAACAAAAAGTCTCCCTAAGGTCTTCAGCGGAAGACTTGTAAGAGTTAAGGTCAGTATTTGAATGATCTGTGACCCTTCTATTGAGTAATTATGGTATTTGAGGAAAGTTCAATTGTATATTCCTAAATAATTAGTTCTGAATTTATGCAATTACAAAGTTTCGAGAACAGGTGGAATATATAAAACCAAATGTTGAGTTTTATTGTTCGGTCCACTTAAACGTTTGCAATGTTGAAAGGGCTGAATACTGAAATCTTGGGATCTGCTGAATTTTGCCACTGAAATATTTAAAAAGTGACTTGCTGAAAGTTCTCTATAATTCAGTCAGGTGGTTGGTGGTGTTCATCCTGTGCCATAGTCTGATTTGATGTAAAATTTATATCCCACAACTCTTTCAATACTATGTGTTTATATAAAAATATATACTTAATACCATATATGATTTTGTAGCTTCAGCAAATTCTTCAGACTTTTCAACAGCCTCAAAAACCCCAGTCACCGGTCATAGATAACACTGTGATGGCTCAGGTTCAAGCTATTACTGCTCAGTTGAAAACTACAGCAGCACAACCGCCAGAACAAAAAGCTGCTTTCCCACCGCCTGAGCAAAAAACATCATTTGACAAAGTAAGTCTTCATTTGTTCTTTGTGTTTGACTTTCTCAGTTCAGCAGAAGATTGTTTGATGGGTGCCTCAATGTCCTTCATTTGTTAGGAGAAAAATGATGCAAATTTTATTTCTTCTCTTTCCGTTTGGAGGTTGGCTTCCTGTTTTTATAGCCTTTGCATTTTCTGAAGCTGAATAAAACTGGTTTTGGACAGTTTCTGATTCTGTGTTAGAATATAGATTCCACCCCCCCTGGATTCTAACCTTGTCTTTAATTCCAGAGCTGTTAGATCTATAGTAAGACTTTGTTAATAAGGATATTTTGGCTGCCAATTATATAAGATACAGAAAAAATAGTTGGCTCAACATAATTTCTTTCAGAAGCTGCTAGATCGGTTTGACTATGATGATGAACCAGAAGCAGTGGAAGATTCAAAGAAAGAAGATTCAGCTCCTTCTCCTTCAGTTTCTCAGCCAGCTTTGTAAGTTTTGTGTCATAATAAAATTAACAAATCTTTGTTCTGAAAAATCTTTAGTTTAGGAAGCTGATTAAAATTCCAAGTTACTTCAGTGCTTAACTGTTATAGTCCAAAGTTAAAAAGTTGTTAACAATTTCTGGTGGGTTTTTTTTTTTTTGTCTTTTTACTTTGGTGATCCGGTGTAGGTTTGGCATGTGGCATCATTGATTGAGGAATGTGTTCTGTAGAGAAAAGCTCAGTTTTGGTTTCAAGATGAGTTTCATGTTTGTACTGCACAACTGAGCGTGTCAGGGCATTGTTAGTAATCAGCTGGATTGCTTTGCTGGCTGGGGAAAAGATGCTATTCCAAACATTGTGGTAGTTTTAACTATTTAAAAAAAATAAAATTGGCTTTGCAGCTTTACATTCTCAAACATTAAATACCCACGCAAACTAACTCAGACTCCTGTTTCCCTTTTGATATGCATTATGATAAAGTCTTAAATTACATGATCACATACTAGTTTTTTCCACAGGACCTCTCTCTCATTCAGTGCACAGGCTGGATGGTGCTCAATACCTGGGTTAGTCAATATTTCTTTTTTCCCTGCTTCAGTATGTGGCCCCATGTCTTACTTTCTGTATATGCCATCCAAACCCTGCTCTCAAAAACAGAATCACTAACTTTGTCATTAGCTTTCTTACTGTGTTTATCACCTTGAGCACTTCAATGTTCCACAAGTATTAGTTAATTAAAATGCCTTTTAAGTAAATTGGTAGTATTTTCCCTATAATACAGATGGAACTCTGGAGTACATAAAGATGAGGTATGTCAAACATAAGCACTGCTTATGTATGCCCAACTAGAGATCATTGGACTAGGCTTTTCAGCATGTTTATGTTCTGTTTGTAGCACTTCAAAGCCTCTGTCCTTATTACCTTATAGTTGTGTAAGATGCCTCTGAAGATTGGATTCCAGTCGTCTCATTTTGGGCACATAAAATCAGTAATACTCTATATGAAAAACTGATCTGTCCAGAATCAGCTAAGAATTGTATGGCACCTGTGTCTTAAAATACTACAAAGTTTCATTTCACGTCACCATGAAATTCCTTTATCTTCCTGAAGTCCTGTTCAGTTTCTTACACAAACTGCATCCAGTAAACAGGTCCTATTAACTGCACAGACCTCATTAATTCCCTGAGCACTGTCCATTCTGTGTGTTGAATCAGGAAGTGAATGGCATTACTGTAATCCTCGTGTGAGGAGTCACTCTTTCTCCTTTTTTTGTTTTCACTTTTTAGAGAGGAAATGGGATCGTAATAAAGATAATTTTTCTGTCTAAATTTGAAGCAAGAATGTGTAAATGTACATAGAAATATGTAAAATAAAGGCAAAAAATCTGTGTATCTACTGACTTGTCTCACCAAAATATTACTGGTTTTAGTGGATTTCCAGGAGAAGGTATACAACAGCCAGTATTTCCTCAGCTCCCAAATATGGATCCTTTTCAGCAGCGAATGATGGGAATACAACAGGATCCAATGCGTCACCAGGTAACTTCAGGGTTTTCCCTTGTCCCTCTGTTGTGTTATGTTTTCTATCTTTTGTTGTTTTCTTTGGTACAGAAGTAAGGAAGTGGTGTCCTGTTAGTGGAGAGTGAATGTGGCTTAGCCCTCCAACTTTCCCAAGAAACATATTTTTGTTCTAGTCAAGCTTTGAAGAATAAAATTTTTATTTTATACACCTAAACACTTGACCTACTTCATCTTTCTCGGGCTTCTGGTCTTTTATTGTGACTTTGGAGTAGAGATACAATTTTACTGTAGCAAACTGGGAAAGCTAATGTAATTTTTTTTCCTAACTGGAAGTTTTCATGTTTTTTCTTCTCCAAAGGTTCCGCTTCCTCCTAATGGGCAAATGCCAGGTTTTGGTCTCTTGCCTACCCCACAGTTTCCACCCATGGCTCAGCCTGTGATTCCGCCAACAGCACCTGTGCAGCAAACTTTTCAGTCTCCTTTTCCAGTACAGAGTGAATCACACATGCAAAAACCACATCAGCAGGTGAGGACCCCTTGCAGTAAACAAACTTAAATGCTCTAATACATGTCTTTCTCAAATGTGTATAGTTTGTTCAGGAGAGGAAGTTTCTTGACAAGCATGGACAGAGATGGCTGTGAGGGTAGCTCATCTGAGAGAAAGCTGGATAGCTGCAGTGCTACATGACAAGTCTGGTATTTGAGAAGTCTAGCAAAACCAGCATGTGTATGCTTTATGCCTCCTTTTGTGAAAGACTTTGGATTGCATTTTGTTCTTCCACTTCTCTCACTTTCCCTCATCCTCCTTTTCCTGTCCCCATCATGCTTCAGGGATATTTTGTTCCATGGAATTCTAACAATGCATTCTCATTCTGGAGAGAAACTATCTGGAAAAGTTAATTTTTAAGGGCCTGGTAGATCACTTATATAATGGAAATGGACTCATAAGTCTGTAAAAGTTTTTAAAAATCCAAGTGTATGTAAGCACTTCTCTCTTGTTCCTAAGATTTTGGTTGATATTGTTGATTTGGTAACTGGCTGCTATTAAGAAGAAATCAAAGAGCAAGTCTATTTATGAACCTGTATTTAAAAAAAAAAAAAAGAAGTTGAATATATTTGCCTCTTTTGTTCCAAGAAAAGGAAATCCTAAAATGAGAAATAGAGATGGTACCAAGCTGTCTTTATGTGGTGACCTGTGATGTCACAGATTCTAGAAATAAGTTCTTGCTCTCCACTTGGAATAAAGGGACAATTCTCAAGAGTATCTTTGTAAATAGTTTTTTAGTCTCGAATTCTGTTGAATCAGTACATTCTGAGAGATTGCTTGTTTGGATATTCCTTGCCAGGGGCGCATCATGAAGACTATTTAAAGTTTAGGCAGGACACGGTATGTTCCGGAGTGGGAAGTTGTAGAGGATTTGGGGTAGGAAGGAAGAGCTGTGTTGAACTTACTGGTTTTTTTTTTAAGCAGGTGCTTGCATTTTATGAATTTTATTGATGACTTACTGCTTCGTTGTTCAAATTTATTATATTGTAATTTGCTTATATATGGCTTAAAGTAGTTCCCTACAACATCTTGGAGAAAAGTTTTCTAGTAGACCTTACTTTGCCTGTGATTTTGATGACAGAGCAAGATCCACTGACTGACTTTTAAGGAATATAATCATATTCTGTGGAAATATATGCGGAGCGGAAATTGACTAAAATGTGGAAAAACAATAATTTGCAAATTGAAAATGAGAATTTTGTGTAAATTATTTTTATTATGTTTTTGCAGTGGTTGTATTAAGTTCATTTAATACTGGAGTGTCTCCCTGTTAGTGACTACAAAGTAATGGTGAAGCTTCTGAGGAGAGTTGCGTTACATTTTAATTTCACATATGTGAATATTCAGTATAATTTTACGTAATTTGCGTAATTTGGTCTAGGCATAAAATGAAATAAAATGCCTGCGCTGCTCTCCCGTAACACAAGTCAACTTAATATTTTAGGATATGGAAGTGGAACAGCCACCTATTCAAGAGGGAAAACGGCATGTTTCTGACAACAGAAAGTCAAGATCTAGGTCTGCATCAAGGTAAATTAGTGAAAGCTCTTTTAGTGACTTTGGATTTTAACATAAGGAACATAAGTGTGTCATGTCCAAAGACTTGAAAATGCTTTATTAATTCTGTACAAGTACTGAGGAGGATTATGCTGATTATCTGGAGAATCTGGTGCGGTGCTGCCAAATCTACTGTGGGGGTGGTAACTACTAACTGAGATGACAGCAGATAGCTGAGAGCTGAGCTAACTCCTTGAACTATTGGTGGAGCTCATTTTAAATGCCTTAGGACATAGTCCTGTTACCTGTATTTCGAGTTGGCTGCTTGGGTGCCCCGCTCAGCATACTTCCTTTGAGGTCGTTTCTTCTAAGTGCCTAGTTGTGCTGTACAAGTTGGATTCTATGACTAAATGCTAAAAGACATATTTAGCAAAAGAGTCCATTTCAATTTAATCTAAGGATTAATTACAGGAAATTACTGTCTGTGTATTGTTCTCTGTATGGACAACACTAGTGAAATTTCTTGTCAAAACTGTCAAGGGCTTTATTTGGATTCCCCTTCTGGAAGAGAGAAAAAAAGAGACCATTTCAGTCTCTTACCTCTGAGGGGAGTTGTGTATAAATACAGCTAAATGTTGTATGTACTTCAACATTACCACTTCAGTGGTAATGAGAAACAGATTAGTGATTCTTAAGACTTGTGAACCTCTGAAAGTCATCTAACTTCTAAGGAAAATTGGGTATCTATACAGTTCTGTTTTATTGGTAGAGAGGAACTTCCATGCCTGTCAATACTGAGTAAATTTTAGGGAAGCAGAATACGATAGTTTAGTTTTGTCTGTACTGCAAAGGCACTTTTCTTATGAAGAAATCTGATCCAGTGTACTATGGGACTTTGCCTGTCACAGAGGCAGTATTTCACATGTCTCAGCTGACCTAACAAATCTGGCTCCGGTATTAAAGCAAAGCTATCTACTTAGTTACGAGTCTTCTCCTTTGCCAAGTTTCATATGACTTCTTTGAAGGTTTACTGTGTCTTCCTTGAGTGACCTTGAGTGGTTTAGAACTTCAACATGATGTAAAATACAATTTCACTGGCAGAATTTATTTTTAATCTCTTTTTTAGCCATTATTTTGTAAAAGCAATAAACATTTTTCCTCATTTAAGCAGACGTAGTTTTTTTCTTTGTTAATGTGGACATAGTTTTGATAGTCAACTTCAATACAAAATTAATAGAAGATAAGAAATTGAAAAATAATTAACTGTTCAGCTGGAGTGCATTAATAAGCTACTGTAATAATTTATTCTAGTTCTAAATGCATGGGAATGAATTTGGATGTTTTTTTTTTTGTTGTTGACTGAACTCTTAACTGATTATTTATCTGAAATAGTTATCTATCTGTCAATGTCTGGGTCAGAAAGATTGAACATAAATGGTTGTTGGTTTAAACTAGGTCACCTAAAAGGAGACGTTCAAGATCTGGCTCCCGATCTCGAAGGTCACGTCATCGTCGATCTCGATCTCGGTCCAGGGATAGACGCCGACACTCTCCTAAGTCTCGGTCACAAGAAAGACGTGAACGTGAGAGGGAGAGAGAACGCAGGTCAAAAGGCCTTCCTCAGATCAAGTCAGAAACTGTTAGTGGTAAGTTTATTCTTTCTCTTTATTGTTGATGTAACTCTGCAAATTCTTTTCATACCATTTTTCAGATGCTCAACATCTTCCTTGTTCATATATGGAATTTGTTTGTCTATGCCCAGTATTTTCTTTAATGAATTTTAGAGTTCTGTGAAGTTGAAGATTTTACAGTAGATACTATGCCTATGTAAAATGGAATACTAAGAAGACAAACAGGTATTTCAGAAAAACAGTTAAGTGTTGAAGAAATACACTTCTTGTATCTATTAGACTTTTTTTTTTAAATTTAATGTTGACAAGTCCACTTACCTTCAGTATATGATATCTGCTCAGAATATCCCAGAAGACAACTCTTAATCTGATGTGTGTTATTTTTAAAATTTTTTTGTTCCTTTTTCTTGGGTTTAACGCTATTTGATGCGGGTTCCAAGACTCGTCCAAACAGAATGAAAGTAAACTGTAGTGTGATTAATTTTCTGAACTGTTATAAAGCTGGTAAAAATTAAATTCACCACACATCCCTGTACTTTCTTTACTCATGGTAGATAATTTGGCATTTTTGGAATATCTCCAAGTCAGAAATATTTGGGCTGTAAAATGAGGAAAGAAAAAGCTGAAACATCATGTTTTTCTTTTCCTTCCTTTGAGACATATAAGGTGAAGCAGATTGAGCAGCAAGAAGTTGAGCACATTATTACGATTTTTCTAATGATTCAGTGTTGTGGGTCTCTCAAACCTGGAGGGGAGCTTTGACCTGGAAAACACACAGGTTAATGTTCGGATTTCTGAAATAATCCTGGCTTTGCCTGTGTTTATAGACAAAATGTAGTAGTTGTCATCAAGTAAAATGAGAACATTGTTTTTTATGTAAGAGGGACAAAAACTAAAGAGTGTTAACTAACCAAAACCTTGTGAATGACAATACCATTAGTTTAAAAGGACTGCAAAGACTTAGTCGCTGTTCTTTAAAAGCTTACTGGCAGTGGTGTAAGATATGCTTTTGCCAACATCTCTCCCAGATTCTGTCACATAGGGCTTTTTACATTTGCAGTTTTATATCTCTTAGTGGGGAAAACATAGATTAGTATTAAATGTTGCTATAGTAGTCTTCAGCAAATGTGATACTTTGAGTTCATCTGCTGTTTTACTACCTTGAAGCATGAAGTGAGATAAGTATGTTGCTTACTCTTTCCTGAAAGAAGCAGCTTGTGTCACTGATTTTTCACTTAACCGTAGAAAGAAATGGCATTGAGTAGGTCACTAAAGAGGTTAAAAGTTTGGTTGCTCATTGCAGTTGAATTGTCACCGCATTCTGGAGGAAAAATCTTGCCAGTATTGACTGTATCACCATAAATAATCTAATTATCATCTTGCCAGTAAGTACCATCCATAACTTTCGATGGTGGCCCGTAGCTTGGATTTCATACTACGCGGAGTGAGTTACCTTGTTGTGAAATATCCACTGTATGTGTTGGGATATTTCATGGAGCATTGTTAGCAGCACGGCATATTTTTCCTTTTTATGATGATTTGCAGAGCTCACGGTCATCAGAACTTGTAGGTCACTTCAATATTAGTTAACTAGAGAGCTTCTTAGTGAGTGCATTCTAACAGTGATTCTGGTGTAGTTGCTGTGGTTAACTGTTAACGCAGCTCTAGGCAGGCAAGAAAAAGAGGTTTCTGTCAAACACTCCTAA